GCATTGCATTTTTTATGACTAAATTGACAGCTTTTGTCATTGCAAACGCGAGCATACTAAGATGCGTAATGCTCCATCCGGCATACGAATGTACATGTGAATGTAAATGCGACTTTGAATCAAATATATGCGGTTGGCAAATCATAGTGTTTAGATAAGCTTTAATTGACAGAACCAATAGTGTTGAAGAGCTGATAATTTAGTCATATGAAGCAAATGTTTAATGTTTTGTAATTTTTCGGTATAGGAGACCAGTAACAAACCGCTTCCTGACAAACAGTTAGGCAAACTGTAGGTTTTGTGCATCTGTCACATTCAAGCTTCTACTAAATGGTTGGCTACACATCAGCACTACAACATATTATATTACTGCTGTATATAACTATGAACGTTTTCTAGTCAACTTTTACTGGGATCAATGCGTTCGACCAGGTAATTCGCCCCACCTATCTTGCCCAAAGATATGGGAACAAATATAGCATTTGGGTTAAATGACAATAAGTTCCTTTTACCGACTAGTTTCATTGCGTCACAAATATTTAGTTTACCTTGTTGGTTCCTCGAATTAATAGAAGTTTAAGCCTATCAGTGACTTATTCTTACTTCTGTTAACGCACAGTTCATATTTATGCTCCACTGTCAGTTAGGCAATTATCTTCATTAGTTATGACTAGTTAGGCAACATTCTCAACATGATGATCGAAAGACATGATTCAAAATGATATTTTAAAGATATGTTAGGCTGCGTCGGCGCATACTCAAAGTGATCAACTGCACAATGATCGAGCGTTAGTTTATTTGCATTCTACTTCGGGATTCATGAAATCACAGTGACCGATGGTTTCGTATGGCTAAGCTTCAATCTATTGCCTTGAAGCTTATCAATCACGGTTTGCTTTGTCTTCCACCTTTTCTCCTCAAGCTTTAACCAAAACCTGGCATTCTTTAACCACGACTCATAGCCCTCTAAATGGGACGCAGATCTGGAACTATACCGGTTTAAGTTAGCCAGATCAGAACGAACCGAACTATTTTGAAGTCATTGAACGTTGAAATTTATTTTATGTCAACATTAATGTAACCAAAACTTGGTGAAAAACAAGGTGTGTTGATCACATGATGAGTAGCTTACCGCAGTATGGGTTTTAGATTATTCTACACGAAGAACCTGTTGACAGCAATGGGAGCGTAATTGCCTCAGTAAAGGACGTTGTACATCGATGAACCTGTCTACAATATATGGTGCTGTCGTAGCGATGGTTGCTCGTAAAACAGTTCAAAGTCTCCCATCCAACGAAGAACATAACGGAAGATATTTATGGTTTAAAGCAAGGTTCAGTGAAAACCATGCAGGTGTCAAGTGGACCGACGGTCGGTTCGTGTCGTTTAAACCTTCTCTAATCAATTTACGGTGCATTATTTGACACAATTATGCCAGTCATCGGGATGGTTTACATTTGTCACATCTCATTTATTCACCGAATAAAGTTTTGAAACCTGGTTGGCCGTGGAATATTCTGATACGTCTGATATAACTCACTTACAGCATCATAGCTAAACTTTGTGCGTTCATGATAAAGAATTATGAGCCGTGACTAAAGAATTGTTGGTCGAGACTAATGGATTGCGGGTTTTGGCTAAAAACTAAGGAAAATCCAAATTTTAGACACTTCCTTCCGCATGGTTTTAATATGGAGTGATGAATATGTATGGTCAAAAATGCCTTACACTGAGTAGCACACACTATCAGAAGCATTTAATTATCCCATTTTGTATTTGCCAATATGCTCTGTTACTTTGGATCTTTGCTAGTAATTTCTTGACTATTTGAAAAAATCTCACATCTTTATAACTACCTGCTGTGAGAAGCTCATGTTCTCGATCACATGACCGAAAGCAATTCGTGTTTTACTGGTGCTCGCTTACCTCTGTCACTCGATCACATCATAAGCCAGAGCCTTCTAAACGAAATGCACAGTTTATTCCATTCATCAGTTCGCGTGTATCTTGATCTCTTCGTGACATATTCGATACTGTCTGTGTCTTTACATGGTTTCTCACTAACTGCGGAAATTCTCGTCACATTTTTGAGTGCATTTTTGGCATTTACATTTGAATTTCTCAGTGCGATCCCCTCGAATCAGATTAATAGTTTCAAAATTCTATTTTATCACAAAATTACTTTATTTGGTGGTGTCACGTAGTCACTCATCATTTTTCAATGCATTGTTAATTATCTTGCAATTTACCAGTTCAAACAGATTAGATTTTACTTGAGATCTAATTTCTTTATCCTTTCTTCTCACAGAGAAAGGTAGCGAAAACTTAAAATGCATAACCAAATCTCACGGTGTTCCGGGTTGACGTCTTCGTCACGTGGTTTGATTTAATAAGCGGATAACAACACCGTGGAAGACGACTTGCAATCTATTTGTTCAACAACTGTTTGAACAAGTGATGCTTTCCTACCAAGAAAATCACGGCTATTATGCGATTTGCTTAACCAACATTTGATGATCTCCCTTTGTTACGGTTAAACGTTTCTAAAACGAAACGGAATTCAGTATTTTCGCCATCGATACACGTTGGCCACGGGCGCTAATAAATCTCAGTGTTAATTACTATAACAAACCAGATATTTTCTAAATCTGACGGTCAAATAACTCTGGTGATGTCACTGAAATTAGTCGATCTGAAATCAGGAGCTGTTTCTTCAACATTTTTCTGTGAACCTAACAAACTAGAGAGAGAGAGATTAGTCGGGCACCCGGAAAACATTCTGTTGCCAAACATATCTAAGGTATCTTGAATTATTTGACTATCACTTTATACAGAACTATCGTTCCCTAAACACTTTCAACTAATTCAGCTGCTCGCGGTCTACTTCAGTGCACTCTCTTAAAAGCCATTATGATGATCATGTGGTATAGACTACCAGCACTTCTACTCGGAATTCATGTTTTCGAATCCAACTACTGCATATCCTCAAGCAGCTTTTGATTGGGCACGGCCCTTATCTTTCAAATTGTCCACTCCACTGTATAGTTCACAAAAGGAAAGTGAAATATTGTTATTACTATCAGTGTTGTTAAAAATCTGGTTTTCGTCATCCTGATAAACGTTTCGGGAAGTACACTCGTGTGTGTGTGTGTGTGTGTGTGTGCGGGAAAGCAAACCTCAAAGGTTTGTTGTTTATTTTGTACGTTTGTGTGCATTCTCTTTAAGCTGTTACACAGAAAAAGTATTTGGTTCCGTTCATATTTGTAGTACTCTGTTTCTGAAAGTTGCCAAATCTAAACAAGCCAGATTCATCAAATGTCTTGAAACTGGCAGAATGGTTCCGTAACTCTTTTGTCAGTCTGCTATATACAAGGGAATGAGAAACTGACCACTTTTCTTCTCGACAATTCAGCCTTTTTGTGACTGGGATGAATATGACAACGAACTACTTCACACGCATTTGCACGAGAGGGACCGCTTTGCGTTGCACAGAAAGCAAATATAACTTCTTCATCCATACAGCTGTTACCGCACAACCAAACAAAAATCAGGTGAAGCGTAGCAGCAATCCCCCACCCCCCACCCCGTCAGTTGCTCCTTTCCACCAGTATCACCTATAACCACGGTAATAAAACTATGCTACTTGGACAAACGCGACGGTGTCTTATTTTCGGTTAGGGGAGTACGGGGACAAGGAAGAAATATGGCTCTTACTGTGTTGGTTCCTCTCTATATCGTTCCCCGACTACCAATTTACCCAAGAAGTAGAATCACATATGACATTCATATATACGTTTCCCCCGCCTGCCCGTTTGTTCTCATGGGATGAACAGAGGCACTTTTTAAGGCTAATTGGTTCACATGAAATAATGGGAACTGAACGGGGACCAACTCGTCTGGGTCGGAATGAAAGGGGATTGACGAACGATAACCAACTCCAGGGGCACAGCAGCCCAGGGATCGAAAAGACGGGCAACCAATCCTTCAAATGCCAAATACTGCATCCCATGTGAGCTTTTTCAATTTCCCGTAGCATATTACTCTCACGTTTCGCAAACTGTGCTCTTTTTTCTGTTTTTGCTTGTTCGCTTCCAGCCGGACTGTAGAAAAATACTACGCTTGTTGATAGTCTGAATCGTGTCTTTTTAATGTACTAGTGAATGTAATAGTTAATAGAAAATTTCTGTCAGACAATGATGAAATATCAGATAATTTCAACCTCACAGCAAAATGTTTGTGGACCGAAACAATCATCGCATTTTCAAGATTTTCAATACGGATAATTACCTAGTAATACGGTTCACCAGTATCAGCTTGCCAATCGAACTAGAATTCTACCTTTCAATACAAAATATCCCAAATTCGGTGTAGAGCATCCTATTACTACGTAAATAGTATCTTACGAAGTACAATGGCGAGTCTTTAAGATAAGCGGTTTGTCCAAGTGACTGTCGAGCGATATGAAACATCCTCAAGTTTATATGGAATCACTTTTTCTGGTGCACTGCGTAGGCGTAAGAGGGTGACAAAGTGCCGAATTCCGCCCATCTTAGTTCGTCGTTTGGCTCGTTGTACCACACAGGATACCGATAAGTTGTTGAAAATGTATCTTAAACTAATATTGGCGAAAAATTCAGTTGGTACTGCTCTATCTTAATTTAAAGATGTAGTTTATCTCGCGTTTGTCAGTGAGAGTACTGTTGAGCCTGATGAAGAGAATCTGGTACACACCATGAGTGTCCTCAATTGAAATTCTTCTACCTGTTTCGTCGTTCCCTAGCCTAGATGACCAAGTAATTGTTTTTGCATCTGTTCCATTTTCAATCAATATTCGCTTACGCTTAAATCCGATGAACAAAGGAGATGACTGTCGATGTTGATATCACGTTCTTTTCAGTCTCTATCGTATTTGCACAATGCATTCTGGTTACTGAGCGCAAGTGTAATTACCTTATTGACATAAAAGACAAATGGTAAGAGTAGATCATTCTCCCTTTCACTTACTTATTGAAATGGAATTCTTTCTCCAGTTCCAATGTCTGATAGCGTGTGTATGTTTGTCGGGTTCTTTTCTGGTCTGCTCCGACATCTGAAAAATCAAGCGAAACACGCATATGAGAACTACTAATATCGAACGAATAGACGAACGAACGAACCAACCAACCAACGAACCAACCAAATGCGCGAGTGAATCTCAAATGAGGCTGACAGTGTGCATGGTCGGAGTTGAACGGAGTACGTTAGTTAGTACGGACAAATTGTAGCTGGGACAAATGATCATCTCGGAATGAGGCTAAGGAACACAAAGCAGAGCCGTGACCGATGAGTTGTTTGTACCCACGTGTAGTGTAGTTGCGTGCGTACTTGTGTGTATGTGTAGATGTTGACGTGTCCGTGTGAGTGTGTCGGTTAGAAGGTAAACAGGAAGACTACCTTATGACATCGATCTGCAAGTGGATTAAATGGGAACCGGAGGCAGAGAAACAGCAGAAGCTATCTGACTGTTTAGCTACAGATTATTACAACAGAACTTATTGGCACTATAGTTATCAGGGCAAATAGAGAACTCCCAGTGGTAGCCACAAAGGGGTTGCACGAACATGGATGGTGATGTGTGCATCTTATTCAACTGTGGTGGAAATTCAGTGGAACAAAACTATCAATACCGTTCGTCCGTAACGGGAAATTTAGGAAAATATTGGGGAATTAAGCTGTGTCCTTACTTGAATTTATCGTATTCTGAACAATCAATCTCAAATTTGATTTTCTCAAAAAAAACAATTAATCAGCGTGATACTCAAAGGTCTTATAATAAACAGTCATTCAAATAACTTTGGCTCATTAACAAGTTACGAGAAAGGAAACACAAATTGAAATCGGTTCTCAATAAGCCGCATGTGTGATGTGACGACAACCTTCCGGCAACCTTAAACACAGCATACATTTGATACAAGCACTCAGGCTGATTGTGTCATTCAGTTTTTGCCATCAGACCCCCGTTTTCTGAAATCCAGCAGCACAACACGAAGCTACAACTTTCTATACTCTCTATCACAAAATGAACAATGAATTGATGCTGGGAGGACTTAGACTGACCTCAGTCCACGTTCAAATTGACGTCGAGATATGATACGGAACGCAACACACAATAAACCGGTCGTTAGCCATTTAGTTTCATCTTACTAGATGTAATTCAATAATACTTATTATTCATGATTCCGGCGTATTTATTTGGTGGGCTTGCAAAACGGTGATTAACAAACATCAGCCACTGCGTAAACAAATAATGAACTTTAATTGCGTTTTTCTGCAAGATGGCGATTTATTTTCATGTAAAATCTGCAATTTCACGACAATCCTTGACTGTTTATCAGACTACGGGAAGGCAATCCGGATTTCACTCATCTAACCAGAATAACGTCGTCTGTCAACTGAAATTTCCACGCAATGATCCGACGTCTGTTTGGATTATTAAGAAGCTCTTGATGTAACGGCGCCGAAACTAAAGTATTCCAAAATTATAACTGGGATCCTCTTGATCAACTACATGCAGCGCGATCTCATGAACTCAAAGGTGGGTTGAACTTGAGATCGTACTGGTAGAACGTAAGCACACTGCCTACTTGACTATCATTACTTCACCATGCAGATAACTTTTTATTTGACAATTTTTCTCGTTGGGCACTTGCAATGGAATGGATTTTGTACTAATATAATAATAAATTCATTGATTGGTTTCGAAAGATCATAGATCATCAACAACTCAAACAAACCAGCATAAACGTGCGTTTTTACTCAGCTGAACTATTTATTGCCTAAGTGATACACATCGTTAATCCCTCTTGATTTTGATAATTTCGTTCACATTCTCTTCAATTCAGTTGAATGAATCACATCATACTCCGACGAAGGGATAATATTTTAGGCCCGAAATAAAAATTCTGCGCTCAATACAATAATAATGTATTCAGCATAGACAAAAGAATCGTCTACATCCCTGCTGTTGGACACAACAATTGGGGCGGTGGTGGCCCGGTGGTAACATCACCAAATTACCATCCCGGGGGACGTGTGTTCGAATCCCATCACCATCGACTGACTTTCCCCATTTGTGTGTTGTGTGGCAGCCCTCTGATTGGCCGCCTTCCCCACCCCTTCCTGAATTTGTATAATTGTGTATTCAATAAAAGGAAGTAAAAATGAAAAAGAAAAGAAAATAATTTGTGCAGCCAAAGAGAAACGTCTGGGTGGATAACCTGTATTTTACGCTGTTCCGTCTCGTTTGTGTCACGCCGTCCGGTAAAACACAGCACGGGAATCGAAAAACCATTGGATAATAATTTCTCCGTCAAGATAAACAACTGATTTATTGTAATAGTAGATAGGTGATTTGGTTCATCTCTTGATTTTAGTGCAAATCCGGAATATGTGTTGACCAACAAAAAATAACTAATAGAATTTTATAATAATGGATTTAAGAAGAATATAGCCTTGGTACTCTATTTGTAATCAACGCAAAAATTGGTTAGATAGCAAACAAAAATAAGGTCAATCAGATTTAAGCATACGCTGCAGAGAAATGTTTGTATCAATAAATGTTATTTACATCCTCGTGGTAACGTCTACTATGACAATTACCGCTATTCTCCAAATACAGGAACTTAAATGACATTAAATGCGTGTTACGTGCATCCTCATACGGTGCGATACTCCTATTCCTTCTGTAGACTATCTGCCACAAGAACGTGGTCATTGGGGAGACCTAATGAAGTTTCACGTAGATTGGGGTGCAAAAAATATCCCGAAACAGCATGCAGTTCTTACAAGTAGTCCTACTGAAATTGTGATCGATCATATTTTGGTCTATGTTCTAAGCGAACTGGTACAATCAGTAAGCCATCCTATCTATGTCAGACCTCTTTTTTTCGGTCTTGTGATATCCATTTAATCCGAAATTCACTCATCACTCCGCGAATCGTAAGGAGGTTGCTAAAGAAGCTCTGGACCTCGTTATTCTCAAAACGGAACAGTTTACTTTCCATCGACTCCCATGTAATGATGTCATTGTTGACTTAGTACCACCTTAGAAAATCAGTCAGCTGGTATTATCGAAGAACCGTTCCGCAGAAAAGCTTGCTTCTTAACTTCCTACAGTTTGATGTGGTTTGCTTTGGAACCGGGGTAAAGAAGTTCTGGCTAACTGATTTGGAAATGCTAAATAAATCTATTTTCAAAACAGATTCCGACTTCAAACGACTTGATCAAAGTAGAAAGTATTGTGTAGGCCAATTCAGTACATTCCTGTTCGATAGTTTATATCAAGTTATTTTTAGCTCACTCCAAATAGTTTCGCTAATTCAACTGCTTGTACCCTCATTCCCGCACCCAACCACAACTCTTAGTCGTATCTAACTTGATGATCGGAATTCGCGAATTCTTTGTTGCGCCAAAAATGGCCTCTGGCCTACTGAAAAGGACCGGTCTATGTGACCGGGATTTTGATTCTCTGTGACGGTGGCAATAGTAGTAGATTGCAAATCGCCACTTTTTTCTCACTATTGACGTGCTGACATTTCACTAGCTGTGGCGGCAAATGAATCCGACGAATTGGACAAAACCGGAGCATTTTGATATCCTAATTACATATCTCTGAAACCTTCCCAACCTGCGTGCGTGTGTACATACACACACACACACACGCGCGCGCGCGCACGCAGGCTAGCGCGAACGAGCACAAGCGCCGTCATAGTGTATACGTATACACTAATTCGTATTAAGCGACTATCGACCTTTGAGAATGTGATTTGGATCAGCCGCTTTCGCCTTTTTCCAACACGAAGCACACGTGTACGAATTGATACCTGGGTGTCACGAATCGCCTCACATCGTTCGAATGTGGGTTTTGTAAGGGGTGAAGGAGGGAAGAGATTTAGGTTGCGGTGTGCACGATACTTTTTTAAACAATGACGAATATTTTTGTCCCTATTGGGGACTTTTTCAACGCGGTCGAATTGGGAACGGAAAACAGAACATGGCCGAAGGAAGGAATTTGGCCCACAAAGTGCTAAATGTTACTTGAAATCAGACGTATTTCACTACTGTTTCAAATCACGAGAAGCAATTCGAGTGAATCAAAAGAGTGAATTCTAGCTACGATCAATGTTAAAGTACCATGCGCCTGACTGTCGAGAAATGCGAAGCCATTTTTGACTTTAAACGTGCTGGAAATTGGAACGGTCGAACATGGAATCGCCGAGTCTGAATGGTTCAGAAATGGATCTGATGTGCAGTCCATTCCAATCGTTGAATTAATTTTTATTACCCCTTTTCAATTATCGAAAAGTTAAGTTAAATATTCCCGCCATACTGTGTAAATTCAAGGATTCTTATTAAAAGAAAATTAACCTCGTGTAAGGTTCCGTATTTGTACGAAACTATTGAAAGGCTGCTGTGGCTAAGTGATATAGGCACTTGTTTGTTGTCTCGCAGTTCGTGAGTTCACCATCGTCGTTGTCCTGCTTACACAGATGTTATTTACTGGTGCTCAGTCTATTGTGGATCCATTATTTTATATTGATTTTACTGTGGATGTTCACCAAATAAAGCTGAAAGATTATCACAGAGTTTTCAGTTTCTCCCTCAAAGATACAAAGAAAACTTCGCGGTCAACAGGGAGCCAAATTGTTTTAAAAGTAAAAATGACCGCCTTCTAGTCACTGTTTTAGGCCTTCCGATTGGAAACTACTCTAGCACTCCAAATTGTTGACAGATCTGTTCCCGGGCCCACAGAACTGATCGAGAACAGTGCCCTCATCGGATGACTGTATCAAATATGAGGTGAACCTGACCCATGCTTCGGAGGATACGTATGCGCAGGTGTAGTGCACATCATTTCTGTACTGGATGTGCTTACCAAAGCGTTGTTTCGGGGTCACAAGGCTTGCGCATGCACACACACACACACACACAATTTACGCGTATATGTGCAGCATTCTGTGTATATGCATGCACGCGTGCGTACTGTGTGCGTGTGTGCAGCTTGCTAACGCGTTCGCTCTTTCGCTTGCTCGCGTGGGTCAAGTTGATTTATGAAGCCATTAGTTCGCCGTTAGTTGCCGTTCGCTACTCGCGGGAGTAAACGCGTGGAGTCGAGTGTTTCGGCACCCGTACCACAACGCACACCAAGGCACGGAATCCACTTCAGTACAACTACCACCCCACCCCCACCCTCGCTTTTAAGGTGGTGGAGTCATCATCAGAACATCGATGGAATGACCAGGTCGATTTTTGTTCGGAAGACCTCGCAACCGATGGACCAGCGAAGTTAGTTGGCTTTCTTGCCAGTCTGCCTGCCTGGCTGCCTGCCTGCTTGTTAGTTAGCTTCGTATCGGAACACCCACTCTCTTTGACACAGTGACGCACCCAAACCAAGTGCAAACCTAACACTTGGCCTAGTCACGTGCCGAAGACAATGAGATAGAGGTGAAATCAAGAAACAGATGATAGGCGTCAGTCCAAAAGGGTGAGATGAATGATCCGAATCCTGGGTATCGGTCACTCACTAATGAGCCACATTCGACTTGGTATGTGGCCCGTGATACGTGTGCACCAAAATGGATCCGTGCGAACGGTCCGTAAACTCCCTCTTGGCCCAAAAAAGAAAATTGGGCACTCCACTTTTGTAATAGTTGAGTAAGACGCAAAGTAATATCAGACTGTTTAGTGAAATTTTGACGTCGATATCGACCTTGAAGTAAAAGTTTCTTGATCCAATGCATATTTTTATGACTGCTCTGGTAGTAAATAGTATCGCCCATATCGCGGAATGAAGCAAGTAACTGGAATGTCATCTAAAGAAACTGGTTCACTCCGCATCGATGAACATTTCATGCATAATATGGTGAATGCTCTTCTTTCAGTGCATGGGATTAATCGTAATAGTCTGCAGGAAAACTGACTGCAGGTCTAATTTTTTGTCAAGACTCGGAATGTGAATAACTGTCCTATGAAATAAAAGTCTTGCTAGATAGCGAGATTATATAAAAGCAGATTTTCTGTGATGGAATTTCGGTTGGGCGGCCCTATTTGGTCTCAGCTGGTTGACCGCGAAGATAGAATATGGCGGAAACTCTGTTGGCTATTACTTTTGTTTTCCCGTTCTACTTCGCTAAAAATCTATTCGCAGTTGAGTCCTGGATTGGCAACTTTGATAATACTAATACTAATATGTTAGCATGAAATCTAACACAAGTTATGCAAACACAATACTCATAGCCACCATGGAAACATTTATTCTTGTGTCGGGG